ATATTATAAAAAGAAAGAGCAATTTTGCGAGTTTATTTTAAGTTAATATCTTTCAAGAAATCAAAAGGATCACTAAACGTACGTCAACATAGTTACAATCTCTATCCTCTCTAGTAAAATAATTTCTTTCTTCATGGAGGAAATTAAATTCTCTCGTTACCTTTCTGATTCACCATTTCCGCGGTAAACACAAACGAACGATCGCCCATGCACGAAAAGACGCGGCCAGAGAGTTTGGGACTTTTTCTCTCTTTTTTTTCACAAGCGCCATGGACACCGGCCAATCAGTGAGGTGACAATGATTTAGGTGCGCGTTCCTGGATTGTCGCCCGGCAAACACGAGCACGCACACGTGCGTGTGCGATCTCGCGCGTGTGGAAGTGAAGCGGCCTCATGAAACATTCATGCCGATACCGCCCCGTGACACCGCTTAACCCTGGCTCTCCAAAACGCAGTAGTCAAGATAGGCCACGATGTATTTTTGACGTGGCGGTAGTCACGTAATGTATCACCCTGGTGACTTTATCGGAAACGCCTCGAAAAGCCAGAATTAAAGATCCACGTAAAACGCACCAATTTAAGATACGGTGACTGGATCCCAAAATAAAATTCAGTTAGTGGGATGCTTGAGCATGAAAAACGCGAATCATTTCAACGGCGTTATAAAGAATATAATTACAGCTGTCCCTTTCAACACTTTAGTAATGACGAAAAATATCTATATTGATCATTTATTTATCGGACAACTTTTCGTCGCGCGCGAGCAAGGCATAATTTTCTGTTCATAACTATATACTATACGTGACGGAGGGAGTCAGCTGTGGCGTAGTTATTAATCCTGCTAACAGGAGGCAAAGTGTACTTTGTACGCTCGCTTTGCCTGCCACCCCGTGTTTAACTTCCCCGTTCAAAAGCACCAAACCATAACACGGCGATATATTCGCGCGTAACGTCACAGTTTGAAAGCCCCTCGAACTTTCGTTTTCCCTTCGTATGGTGGAAGTTCGGCGACCGGTGCCGATATCGCTGACCAAGCTACAATGCTTCTTGTAAGTTTCTAAGGGTGATATTAACTTAACACACGCGAAGGTCGCCTACGGAAAGCTGAGACTGATTCTCGCGTCTCTCTCTCTCTCTCTCTCTCTGTCTCTGTCTCTCTCGGTACATTACATAAAACTTCGAATGTGTCGCACGTTGCTGCATGACACTTGCCTATCCTGAGCCGCGTCTAAACTTATCTCTCAACACGGTTTTCCTTCTAATTCCATAATCGCACGAGGCACACGGGAGCCTTACGCGTCGTGTCAAAGTCTTATCTGCAGTCCGAGCGTAAGAGGGATCGGGATAAAACTGGAGAAGCAACCTATGGAAAAAAAGGAGTAGGTCAGGTTAATAATAAACATCTATAATAGTTATTCATAATTATCAAGTAATAAACGAAGGTTGCTCGGCCATTAAAACACATACTAATTTCGAGCGATGCGATCTCCTATAACGGAGAGGAAAAATATGATCCCGATAATGGCTTAATCCCATTCGATTATGGCGGAGGTCCCGCGGAGGAATATGCACCTTGGGGAGTCGATACGGTGAGCGTATAAGCTACTCCCTCTCTCCTCCCCTCTCTCTATCGTTTCCTTCTCTCTCTCTCTCTCTCTCTCTCTCTTCCTCCTTCCTCTTTCCCTTACAGAAATGGGAAGACATCATAAATATGATAATAGGTGGTTTAGGAACGGCGTGTTCGGCATACCGATAAGTTTCCTATCCGCCTTCGTCGTCCCACTATCTTGCCCGGGCGAAATGAGGAGCGAGGCCTAACCTCGCGTTGCCGACAAACATTTAAATTTGAGGATGGTACGTGACGCAATTAAAAGCTTCAGAGAGCTCCCCTAACGCCCTCCTCTTCCGCCCCCCCCCCCTACCGCCCCCTCTACCACGTGCGCGCGCGTATGTGCAACGATGCAGCCATGGCAATAAAACTTGTTCCGTCTCCTACGTAGGAGCAGAGGCTCATACAGACATCATTTTCTCTCTCCTTTTCCTCGCAAAATTCTCCGGCGGTGTCTTCGCGACGTCGCAATTCCCGGCCTCCGTAAACAACGAGATTACGTGGAGCTCTTCCCGCGCGATTCCGCAACGCGAGCTCTCGGTCTGATAATGGTAGATTTATGTATTATCCAGTCTAATATTATATATATTCACTTGTTCCCATCCGTACATGGACGTTATTATCGAAATTCCTCGCTTTATCAGACCGGATAAACGTTATTCGTGGTTTGCGATAATTATACTCCTCTTTTGTTACGCTACATTTTTCGTTTTTCGTGGTGGATTACGAAAGTATGATAAAAGACCCTCTTTAAATGTATACCTGGGCCTTACTAAGCCTATATCGAGATCCGACGGGAGTGTTAAGAATATTTCATTAAAATTAATGAAACGCCGCCGACGTCACACACATGAGGGGAGACCAGAGCCATAATTGGAGAGGTCTCGACTATGGCAGCTGCACAACCCTTTGTGCTGCGCACCTACCCCCTTCGGCTGCTGCAGCCCTCGTTCGAGCATATCACCCTGTTTCTCTGTGTCACTGTGTGACTTTCTCTCTCTCTCTCTCTCTCTCTCTCTCTCTCTCTCTCTTTCTCTCCCTCTCTGCTTGTTTTATTATTTTTAGCAAAAAAAAACTTTCATCGTGAGTTTCAGCTTACATGCAAGGATGCAACATCCATTGCAATTGTCATGTTCCAACATGGACTTGTTTACTCAGCCGTTGTATTCGCATCCCACATAACGCTAAATGTAGCCGCTTATTCTTCAGCGCATGATAACATTCGAACGTCATATTCATGTTGAGTAAATGAAACTCGGAATCAAACGCATTTAGCTAAATGCGAAAGAACGATATTTAAACGTTATACATACGAACAATAAATTGCAAATGTTGTATGGGAAAATATTGAAATGTTATATATAAACTGAACATCAGTACTGAACATCAGTACTATCGGATTGTTTATACTTTTCTCATCCCCACGCGGCACATATGTGTATACAGATTCTATTCGAACGAAGTAGTAATTTTTTCATTCAGAGCTCGCGCAGAGAGCACTTAAATCTACTTCCGTGCTTAAAACTTATCTCTTTCTCTAACCTACGCACTACTTGCGCGAAACGTTGGCATTCGGAAAAGATTTATTCTCAATAATGACGTTCGCGGATCCCTTCGCACGCGGTCCGAGACCTGACCCTTTAAGCCAGACAGGCTTTTCTATGGCCTCCAACCTGCATGGCTGTATTGTAAGTCCTCCCTCGCTTCTCTCTCTCTCTCTCTCTCACTCTCTCAAAAGAGTTTTTTTGCACACACCCACACGCTCGAACGATTACTCGTACACTCGGGCGAGTTTGCTCGCTCGATACACGTGTGCATACGTGAACGCGATATCCCATATCGTACTGCACAGAAACTCTCCCTATCGAGGGAGAGAGAGAAAGGGAGAGAGAGAGAGAGAGAGAGAGAGAGAGAGAGAGAGAGAGAAAAGAGAAAGAGAGGAGAGCTTTCAAAGCTCTCGCGCCTCTCGCCCAGACTGTCATTTCGATCCTGACTGAAACAGTCCCAGCGGTTCTCAGCCGGAAAAATGCTCGTAATGAAAGGTAGGGTAAAGCCTTGCCGGGTTCATACTGAGAATTTGATGATTGACAGCGCACCGCGCGGATCACGAGCGCTCTGTTGCAATGTATTGCATCGCGATAGCGACCTTCTTCCTGTACGTGAAATACTTTCGCACGTAAATGCTTGTAATTATAAAACAATGGAATGTATCATATTCTTTCTCTCTTCCATTTTATTTGTATTTCTGAAAAATTCCCAATGGCATTTTGTTTTAGATGATTAAATTAACTGACGCTCTACTCATTAACAACTCTACTCTTTCTACTATACCGAGAACCCGCAGCACCGTCTGCGTTCTTTTAACCAGTACAACAATTCTTTGTATCCTTTAAGTTACTTCCTTTCGGTAAATTATGGCTCTAGCTATAATACGAGGAGAACTTAGTCACTGTCGAAAACATACATTTGGAGTCGTAATAAATATCGCTCAGGATAAACTCCATTCATTTTGTCTTAATTGAAAAAAACGTGTATACCTCGAATACCTTCTGTCAAAATACTTTCTGATTAGACAGAAAATAAAGCAGGGGTTAGAGAAACACAATTTTCGGCAAAATAAATCTTCTTTTTAACGAACACCCGGTATACCCGACGCGTGTATGCAGCGAGTGGGCCCGTTGTAACGCTTCAGCTGGTTCCTCTGCCCTCTCGCGCCGCTTTCTCGTCCCCCTGTGCTACCGCGGAGAGCGAGGAGAACGAGAGGGAGCGCAGACACCCCACCTGCCCCCCTCGTCTCGTTCGTCCCCCTTTCGCCGCCCTCTCTCTCTCTCTCTCTCTCTCTCTCTCTCTCTCTCTGTCTCTCTTTCTCGCCCACGCCATGATCAATATTACGCCCCAGAGCTACGGCATCCAAACCGACCTCGAGACGGACTTCTTCTTCCTGCTCAAAGCATCCCTGAGCGGCGCGGTGGTGCAACTTCCGTCTCGAAACTTTTCCAGCACGCCAAACCGGAAACCAGAACGAGAAATTAAAAGCCGGGAGGAGCGTCGGCCGTTTGGATCACGCTGAAGGAGTCACGCTGCGAAGTTTCCCTTGCCCTCTACCCTCTCTCCCTGCCGGAAGGGGCCGGAATGGAGTCGATAATAGTCCCGGTAATTGCGTTGCTCGCTTGGGCTGTCATACGAAATCGCCGAGATTGATTTCGTGGGCTCGACAAGTGCCGTGGTCAGGTCCGATCAGGGTTTTGCCGATTATGAGCAAACGAATATTCCCTTCGCTACGAATTCACCTTCCAATATCATTGTATTCCTTCGCCTCTGTAAATTTTAGTGAGAAAGTCTCGAATTTTTTAAATTAGCAAATTTCATAGCAAAAAGATGACTCTTCGTGTTTTTTGCAGTGAAAACAACATTTTTTTATTTCTGCTAAGTTACGAAAGTATCATACATATACGTTAAGAGATGTCTTTTGATCTCTAAATATCAATTTCTTTGTGTATCGAGAAAGTGGTTGTATTAACGTTGTCGCGCTAGGATTGTGACGTGAAAATCCCGTTGGATGGATATATACGGTCTGTAAGCCGACGTGTTCTAACTACCGTTTGACCGTAGTAGATCATTCCGCATAAAGCCCATGTCGCACCCGAGACCAAAGCTATCAGTTTGATCCCCGGAATCTTCTCAGAAGTACGACGACGGATGATTCATCCGCAGAGGCCAACTGGCAGCCGGCCGGTGACTTCAATCAACCAGGTTGAGAACCACCGGGGACAGATTCCCGTCTGCTCTTGCGGGCGGGATATATTTGTACAAGTAGTAATATGGTGGTTTGATCAGGCGGGGAGTGCGAGTAGGACAGATGAGAGAGAAAGAGAGAGACAGAGAGGGAGAGAGACGGAGGAGAGAAAGAGAGAAAGAGAGGGAGAGAGAGATAAGCGCGACGCATCATTTCACGTGGCATCCCCGTCCCGTAACCTTCTGGGCGGACTGTACGGCGGCTAGGTCAGGGACTGTACGTCTGCCTCTCCAATCTGCAAGCTATTGTAACACTCCTCCGCATCTCTGCCCCTCTCGCACCTTCCCTTCGGTCCCCTTTTCTGCCGTCGCCGCCGTCGTCGTCGTCCCCGCGTCGTCTTCTCGACCGTTCTTCCTGCCTCTCTTCTTTCGCTCTTTTCCTTCTGCTCGAAGCGCCTCTTCGCCGACCCTGCACGAGCTCTACCTTCGCCGTCTCTCTCGTTGTCCTCATGCTGTCCTTTGGGACTTAGACGGCGCGGTGCCGCTTGTTCTTCATCCCCTCATGACGTCGCGGGGTGTCAACGTAAAAATCATTTGCCCCTTTTGTCGCTATAAGAAAGAGTTATAAAGTGTAAAAAATAGAAAGAGAGAGAGAGAGAGAGAGAAAGAGAGAGAGAGAAGGAAAATGTGATAAGGAAAGGTGAAAGACAGAATGAGAGAGGAAGGAAGAGGAAGAGGGAGAGAGAGAATAGAAGCGAATCTCGTGGATCGTGGAATGCGCGGCAACGATATTGTTACAATTGCGGTGGTTAATATCGTAATTGCATGACTGTGGTGACCACGGACGAGGTCAATGGGGAGATTAAACGTTAAAATGTATATTATATCATTGCGAAAGTTTAATCAGATATACGTACATTACGTATTGCAACATTCAATTCCCAACATGCGGAGATCTGTAAACAGAGAGAATACAATAACTCCTAAATTAAGAGAATTGAGTTTAGAGGAAAAGTTTGATTTAATTCTGAATAGTGTAATTTATAATTTTATAATGATCTAAATAGTGTAATTTACACTTTTATTTGTCAAGAATTCCAAAGCCACTCTTATATATATATATATATATATATAGAACTGCAATCGTGAATGAGAAAAAAAGAATCATATTTAATTCAACAAAATTAATACTGTAGTCATGTACCTATCAATCCAATTATTAATGCCATTAAAAGACACGTGATATTTAATTTGTAATTTAATATTGTTAATTAATTTTTTTTACTTTTTCGTATACCTCTTAAGTAATAAGATGCAAGTGTGCCTTCGTAACGTCTTCTTGAGCACTTTTGAGTTATTTTACTATACTCGCGATTCGCTTAAAGCTTTAACAAAGCTCTGTTTCTCAGTCGTCCCATTATCATGTGCCTCTGGCGGCTTGCGTCCTTCGGGAATAGACGACATTGAGAATAATTCGACGTTGTTATTTTAGACGCGGTAAAATGGCTATTCGAACGCCGAGGGAATATTATGCGTCGGCTTTTCAGGTTGCCGGAGAATTATGTCTGCGCGGGAAATCTGCTTTCGCAACTTCTCATCGCGCGATCTTCGACGCGTTGAAAGTTTCGAGAGTGAAAAATTCTCACTTTATCGCGAAATAATCCGGATGTTTATAAAAACAATTCACGAGTGATCGACTCGCGCGCGCGCGTTTGCCCCATCGCGAGAGAACCGTAATATTTTACCTGATCGGATAATTCCTCGGCTATCCATTTTCGCGATATCCATTTTGTAACGTCGAATTTTCGTGGAATTTACTCGTGATTACGGGGTTAGCCAATTTCGCGATATAATCTGCAAAATCTGCGCAATCTCACTTGGGTGAAAGAGAGAAATAGAGAGAGAGAGAGAGAGAGAGAGAGAGAGAGAGAGAGAGAACTTCTCTACTTCGTAGATCTCGGTAACTTGATGAAGTCCTTATTAACCGCGGGTTTAAAGCCGTCAAGCGCGGAAGACTTCTAAGATGGCCGGAACGGCAAGCATAGATCGATATCCGCGTGATTTTTCATGAAACTTTTACTTTAGCGTCTACGTCCCATCGGAAATCTTATTTACAGTCACTCGTATGTGAAAAGTGTTTGTTCAACAATACAAAATTTATATGTAGTACATCCACGTTACGCAAAGATTTATTTACTTAAAAAGAAAACGTGAATAGTTTTTTCTCTTGCAGAATATACGTGACAATTTCGACATTTAAATGTCACAAACATTTTTATTAAATCATAAGTTTAAAACATTAGATTTAATCGTAAAATTCATTGGAAATTTCATTATCAACCTTCCGGTTGTATAATAAATTCAATTTTAATTCAGAAAAGTTTCAAAATTACATTATATATCTACATACAAAGAGCCTTTTTAATTACGAAATGATGTAACAGCTAAATCTTTTCTTCCGTGTTTAAAGAGGAAATTTCTCTATTTTGTATATATTATTCGCATATTTACCGCTCGTATTCCTGAAAGTAAGAAAATAAACATAGAAATATCATTTATGAAAAAGCTTTTATATCATTTATTATGGAAATGGTATTACTATATTATTCTATAATAAAATTAACATTAAATTATTGACCAAATTAATAATTAAAAAATTACGATCATTAATTTGTAAATGCGATTGAAAAGTAATAGCTCAGGCTATTTTATTAAAGTGAAATATTGAATGGCTAGCTTTGCTAGTTAAAAGGAAAGGTCGGTAAATATAATTCACATGTACTTTCCGAACACTTGGAAAGAACGAAACTTGTTAGATCCTTTCTCGTTTAGAACTTTGTCGCGTATGGCCTCTGAGAGAAGATCTTCCGCTCCTTTCTCGAAAACGCGATTCTCGGAACCGATTTATCGGTCTCCTTCCGGTGGGGAAGCGAGCGGCCGCCGCGCGCTTTTAGCGAGATAGCAGCGGCTGTTCGCGAAATCGGATATAGAGGAGGGCTATACGTACCCGCTGTGCACTCAAGAAAATGTTTGTCGCAAGAGGCAGATATCGGCAGGTTTTCCGTCACATAAATCCACTTTGATGCAGTCGCGTGTCGCGATGGCGGAGACGACGGAGGCGACCGAGGCGGTGGCGGCAACGGCGGCACGGGCGATTGGCACGACGGGAAAGAGGAAAGACGTCATCCGCTCCGGACTGGATAATGCATAAGTGACGGCAGCCCGGCGCGTTGTGGGAATCATATCTCGAATTATGAATAAAATAGCGGCCGTCCCGACATGTGTGCGTGCTTGTGTGTGTATGTGTATGCGCGGGTGTGCAAGGCGAGTATCGACCGTGCAGTACCCGAGTACCGTCGCGCGCGCGGGGCCAGTACGTGAGAATCGCGTGTGTACATCCGCACGAGCGAGCGCGCGCGCGTGTTCGTGTGCGCGCGACGTTGATTAATCCCGCAATTGCATCTCGGCTCGGACGATCGAAGTTGCCAAAGTTCCGTGCGGTATGCCGGATTTCGATGAATGTGGAAATGCGCGCGGGATGTTGCAAACGATGCGTTCGAAGCGAATCAAACTTCGCTACTCTCCGGTTGTTCTAGCCGGTGGATTTGTAGGATTTGCGTTACAGTTTAAGGGCCGGAACGAAAGAGAGTAGCGTTGACAACATTTAGATAATTTCGCGTGCAACACCGACGCTAGAATTATCACATGGTTTCGTAAGTGGCGTCGTTATCTCTCGAGATAATTTTGCATGCTGAGAGAATGAATTTTTTACTCGCATAATCAGTTACATATTATTTATTATACACTTTATTATGTATAACGATATGTCGCTCATTTATCAATTTTACAATTATTTATTATTTATCGCGCCGACTCGTATACATATATGCACCGCTCCTTTCATTTATTATTTGTTAGATTTGCGAGTCCTATCATCAATTTTTCAATGTCTCGTTTGAGAAATTTAGTTGACTTTGAAATGACGAATACGTTCCAACCACGCAGAAAAACGATATTATTTGTAGGATGGCTTGATAATGATTTATCGTTCCAGCTTTAACGATGATGTGACATTTTTTGAGCGTCCCTTTGATTCGTTTATCCCTTCAAAATATTACGACGCTATCATAGAACTGTCGCTCCGCCTATAACTGATTAAACCACCACTCGCTGCTCATGCAGCTCACCCAATTCAATCGATTGCTTTTTGACAAAGCGATAAACGTTAGGGACGTACTGCAGGCACGTAAGGATAATATATGTACGCTCTTGTGGACCGAGGTGCGAACCACATGTCGTCGAAACGTGCGTCCGAATTATCGAAGTATCGGATCACCGAGTACTCTCTGCAACGTGCCGTGAATTTGAAAGCACGATTCCGGAGGCCGTCCGCCGTAGATGAGATAATTGCGAGCCGCGCACGATCAGGCATATACGGCCGACGTCATGGGACGAACGTAATTTCCCGTTTTAGTATTTTCCTATTAGCGCGTTACATCCGCGGCATTAAGCTCGCGTGAACGGCGAACCCAATGTTCATTGCTTTGCTAATAGTCGTTCCACAAAACGCGGACTACACAAATAATCGGATCAGAGAGAGAGAAAGAGAGAGAGAGAGAGAGAGAGAGAGAGAGAGAGAGAGAGAGAGAGGGGAAAGACAACAAGCAATAAAAAAGATAATATGGATTATAATGACAATTTATCATTTTTACTACAGAAAAATAACGAAAATCAAAACGAAAGTATCTAAATCTCACGATCAATACGTTTAAATATAACTATATGTTGAAGAATTTTACGATTAAACTTTACGTATAAAAAAATTAAATTTCCAAGACGAAAATCCAATACACGGGGACATAGTTTCCATCCACTTCCCGTCAATAGTTTTCGATCTTTATGGACCCGGTATACATCATTGTCACGGCGAGATGCCTGCGCAGCAGGGCCTTCCCCATCGGCGGAATGTCAGTGCGAGAGGCACTCTAGCGGGCTTAATTGACACAGACTCGTTGCTAATTAGTTTACATTACACTCTCCGTATCCTCCGGGTCCTGCCAAGTCGCTCTCCAACCTGTGCTACGCCCCCGATATTGCGAGAGGCTCTTTAATGTCGAGCTTCGTCAAGCCGCGAACTAAAGGTGTGTCCGTGCGCACACGTGTCGGCCCGTGTCGCAACGTGGTTCACGCCAACGCGCGCTCTCGCGTTCTGACGCATTCTCTCTCTCTCTCTCTCTCTCCCCTCTCTCACTCACCCTTTCCCAAATGCCCTCGCCCTTGTCGACGATTTGTCGGCGAACATAACGCGAAATACCCCCGATCGAACGCATCCGAAAACGCACCCGATAAAAACTGCCAGGTATCACGTAACGTTTCGCCACAGACCGATAACATCCACGTGTAACAATGCACGTGTGACCGTTATTCTGTATCGGAGAAAATAAAAATCGGGAGAAAAATTCAACTGCAATAAAGTAATGATTATTTCACAGTCGCTTGATCACGTAAATATTGTGCAAAATTATATAGGAATATCGTATTATTTGTTTAATAATCTGGCATTTATCCTGCATGTTAATTAACATCCGCAGGTTTAACAACGCGATAAACATGGCGTTTTCCTTTTGAACGTCAACAGACCCGTTTTCTGAAGTTAATCAACCATTTTTCACGAGCCATCATGCTGTCTACCAATGAATTTAAATAATCCAATCAAACGCTGAGATTTAATCAGCGAGCAGCTTATAAATTATACACGTAACCGGCGATCACGAGATCGATTGCGCTTAAGGACAAAAGGAACAATGCGAAAGACAATTCCCGATATAACGAGAAGATACCACGTCCGGGGAGACACCGACGCGGAATCCGATTATGAAAAGCGAGAGACGATCCAGTGAAAAGAGTAAATAACGGTCGCGCTTCCCTTTGTGAACTTAATTCTCGAATTAATCATTTATTTGCGCGCGGTCCAGCTTCATGCGGCGCTCACATTTCAAGGAAATCAAAACAATTGCCTCTATACCGCCTTACTTTAATTTACTTTGATACGGCTTAACGATGAGCGCTTGAAATAACGTCTTTTACTGGCATTCACAAGACAAGAAACTTCAATTTACATCCCTGTTTAATGCTAAATATCCACCAGACTGTGATTACGATTCTTATTTGTCAGACAGGAGTGTTTTGTTTATGGTAAAATTTACGCGCGCCCGCGCACGCGGAATGATTGCGAAAGGTTATTATTCACAATCTGACTTGAAGGAGAGGACACTCAACAAGGACATTCAGAAACATTCTGATTAAAAAATATTTAAATAAAGATCGAAGTCAGTGCTAAAAATAAGTACACATTGTACACGTTATAT